GTGAGCCTGGGGGATGGGGGGGCAGGATACCAGCTTGGATCCCAGGCTAAGTCTATATACTTTGCTGCGCAGAGAGGTGGCCGCCCCGCCCTCGCGCCCTCCCTCTCTAGGGAAACGTGCGCCGCAGGCTCCCTTTCTGATTCTAGGGAAACTCCAAGGGGTGACAGAAGCCCCAAAAGAACTGACATCTCTGCCTCTCCGGGCTCTCCCGCAATGTCTCTGCTTCTCCGAGCCACCCCACCGCTAGGGTGCAGAGTCGGACTGCGCCGCACCCCACTACCCGTTTCCTCCCCAATTCAGCGTCCGAGGCAGGCGCCGCCTTCTCCCCGCCCCCGAGCGCTGGGCCCACCCTTCCGTTCCGGGACGGGACCTGTTCCCTGTCAATCCGGTTAGCCTCAGGGCTCCTGGCGCGTGAAGAAAGGCCAGGGGAGAACGCGGGGACTCTAGATTACGCACCGCCCTCCGCGATACACAGAGGGAACTCCCCGCACCCAAGCCTGGGGATCCTCTGCCCACACCCCCAACTCAAGACGCACCAATAAGGAGTCGGGCCCTCCCCACACTCAGCGGCTCCTGGGCGGCCGAGTGTAGGAACCAACTTCCAACGCGCAGCTGAGCAGGGTTAGGACCCTAGAAAGCTCCCAAATTCCAGAACCCCGTGGGGGCGGACGCGTGCTCGCCTCTCGAGTGTCAGCGCACACGCTCTGGGCTGGCCACCTCGGCCTCCAGGCGTTCAGCTCACACTCCGGGCCGGAGCAGAGACTCGCGCAGTGAGGGTCTCGGGCTGGAGGGCAATGAAGTCTTCCCGCAGCGGGCGGGGGCAGAGGGGGCGCGCGCCCACTCACCATTCCGGAGCAGAGGCTGATGACCGCCGTGTGCTCGGACTTGGTATTGACGTGGCCTTTGTAGAAACAGTGCTTGAGTTCTGCTTCGTCCTCGGAATAAAACTTTGTCTGGTTCTCCTCGGGCGCCCCGAGGAGGGTGACAGTGAACTGTGGAGCGATAAATCCGGCATGGGCGGTGAGATTAAATAGAAACTGCTGGCCGAAGGCGGAGAGGCGGTAATGCGCCCGGGAGGAGGTAGCGGAGGAAGAGGAGGAGGCGAAGGCAGGCCAGGGGTCAGAGGCAGAGTTAATGCTCCGTCGCCTTCTTTTGAAGTGCACGTTCGTGGGAAAGGGTTCTCCGAGAGCGTTCACTCGGACGGGAGACGCGATTTCGTATTCGCTCAGGGACTCTAATAATTTCACTGCAGAGAGAAGCAGAGACACATAACCAGTGATTTCACTTTTCCGCAAGTTTTAAATTAAAATAAAGGCGAGGGAGGGCTTTGTCCTGAGTGGCTTTCCAGCGGGTTTTCTTTTCCCATTTGAATCAACCCCTTCACCTTCAGTCAGTGGACAAATATTTGCTGAGCACCTACTGTGTGCTAGGAAGAGCCGGGAAATGTGCAAGACACTGAGGATACACCCTTAGGAGCCAGAAACACGAACAAGTCAAAATATATAAAGTAATTTCAGATTCTGACGAATGAATACCCGCAGTAAGATAAAGCATGCTGCTAGCCGTTGCCCCCAGTTACTGAGTTATGGTGCTTTGGGGCACAGAGATTGGGAGGGGAGAAAAGCAGGCTAAAAGCAAAGGGTGTGGGGGTAAGTTCCTTCCCCAGTGTCACTCTCTGGAAATTGGCTGGGAATGACCTAAAGAAGGGAGAGCCTGCAAAGCGGGAAATCATTCTTTCTAGGAAAAGGAAAGAGGCTTCCGCTGCGGGGTGCCCGCTCCCGGGCGCGGAGGATGGGCAGCTGGCGACAGGGGCAGAAGGGTC